GGGATGGAGCAGCCACAGCTTCTCTGGGCAACCTGTGCCAAGGCCTCCCCACCCTCCCAGGGAAAAATTCCTTCCCAGTATCCCGTCCCTCCCTGCCCTCTGGCAGTGGGAAGCCATTCCCTGTGTCCTGTCACTGCAGGCCCTTGTAACAGAAACCTGCAGGTCCAGCTGAAGAACACCGAGCCCCCAGTCCATGTCCTGCACCCCAGTTTTACCACATGAAACATGGTTCAACTACACTCTGCGGGTGGGGAGAGACTGGAGAAGGGCTGAAGCTGCCAGGGTGGGAGGATCAGCACATGGAGCATCACTCTGAGGTCTGAGCATCCCAAAATCCCTGTCACCCCGACCCCTCACAGGACAGTCTGAGCCTTCCTGAGCCCGGGCTTTGGAACACGAAGCTGGTGATTTTAATTACCAGCAGAGAGAAGAAAAGAGAGGGATTTTTTTACAGCTGGGTAAGTGTTGCATGGGGCAAGTCAAGAGTTTTTCCTTTTATAGCCTCTATCCCACTGTTTGAATATAATCTCTGTGTCTGCTGTAAATACTCTCCTACAACTTCAGAGTGGCTGTGCCCCGACCCTGGGGCTGTTAAATCCTCTCCCTGCAAAGCCCTGGGCTAAATCCAGCCCATACCTGGCAGGGTTATTCCTGCTCAGGGGGTTCAACACCACTGCAGGGTTTAAAACACGCCTGGCCCTGGCCAAGCCAGGTCAAAAACCCCTGGAAGAATGGGGAAGTGCAAGCAGGAGAGGATAAAGGGGCTGCTGCAGCAGCTGGGGAAAAGGAGATATATATATGTGTACATGTTTTTTCACGAGTGAGAAAGAATAAGCCTGAGGCTTCGGTCAGCTGTCACCAGGCTGAGATAAGGATGGGGGAGTTTAAATCCCATTTAGACAGAATCCTCAGGGAAGGGCTGGAGTGGGGAAGGTGGTGGGAGGCAGCACAGATCCAGCTGGTGGAAATCTCTCCTCCAGAGCAGGGATCAAACCCAGCCACGAGTCCTCCAGCAGGAAGAAATTGGGGGCCTGATCTCCCTCCACCACTTTTGAATCCTTTTTTTGCTGTGAAAGGGCTTTTCTAAGCTTTTGCTGATGCTTTGGCACCCAGTAAGGTAGAGAAACAAATGTGAAATCGAGGGCCAGAGCATCCAACTCCTTCCCTGTCACTTTATTAAAATGGTGTAAAATAAATTCCATCCTCCCATTTGCTTTCTCTGGAGCTGTGGCTGTTTTTTTGGAGCAGGGAGAAGGTGGAGGCTGCAAGCCCAGGCAGCTCTGGCTCCTCTGCCAAGCAAAGCACAGGGGGAATGGGACAAATACATCAGAAAAAGCCCATCTTACAAAATAAAACCTTGAATCTTCACTTGAAAATGAAGAAAAAATCATTTTCTGGTGCAACTGAATAGCTAAAGGGGGTTGCAAGGGTGCAACATAGAACAGTTTGGGTTGGAAGGGACCATGGCCTTCTCCTCGTCCTCAGCTTCTGCAGAAACATCTGATGTCTCCAAATGGGTAGATTTTGAGGCAAAAAAAAATCCTAGAAGAAGGTGCAAGGGCAGTTTTGAGCCCCCAGCTTTGTCTGTCTTCATGAGAATCCCAATTACAGCCGAGTCTGCTCTGATCCCTGGGGTCCTTCAGCTGTGCTGGGCAGGGGGGGCACAGGGAGGGCAAAACTGAGGCTTTTATTATGAGATACGGGCCAAGAGGGCCTGAATCTCAAGGGAAACAAAACTAAATGGAAATATGTGGGTTGAGGACAGGTTTTTTCACTTGTGGTTGCCCCGACCACCACACTGGAGAGGTGCAGGAATTCGCACAGGCCAAGTTTTGCAAGTCATTAAAACGTGGGGTTTTTAACACAGTTATGACTCCAAACAGTTTTTGTCCAGGATTAGGAGCAACCCAAGGAGCTGCCATCCTGCTCCACCCTTGCTGGCCCTGCTCCCTGTGCTCTGTGTCTGTTTTGTGTTGGTCACTGCTGGAACTCCTTGACACAAGGTCTGGTTGCTGAAATATCCAGAAATAAAGAGTTAAATAACATCTATGAGAAAGCTCCAGATTTTTCTAGTAGAAGAAAACTTTCCTACATATTTTTTTTTCTCCTGTGGAGATTCTTGCCTTGTTTTTTCTCCCCCAGCACCTTGTGGTACCAATAACTCATCCCAGGTAGCAGCGATGGGCTCGGGATTTGATTACTGATCTGATTTAGGCTGTCAGGCCCAGCGTCTCTCTGCAGAGATTGCAAGTGTTTCATGGACAATTTGCAATGAAAGAGAGAAGCTTAAGGAGTGATTTATCCCATAACAACAGCAATGAGCAGGACTGAAGGGCTGCATGTGGCAGCACCCAGCACACGGGTGTCGCTTCCACCAGGCTCTGGAAGTGCTGTCACACCAGGGAGAGCCACAGAGGAGACTCAAAGGGGAGGAATCTGAAATGCAGGTTCCTCCTGCATCTTCTCCTCGGTGTAACAGAGGATGTAAGTTGGTTGTTAGGGTGATTTCTCTTGGGAAATCACAGCTGGATCCGTTGCAAGTGCCAAGTCACTTATCCCTCCATGGTCCCTGCAGGAGGAGGAGCCCAGCTCACCTTGCAGGAGGTGGAGGCTGCTCAGGCTTCAGGGAAATGAGAAGGCTGAGGAGACACTAAATATGTTGAGGAGACATTAAATATGTTGAGGAGACACTAAATATGTTGAAGACACACTAAATAAGTTGTGTATCAAAGCACAGGCATTGCCTCTCCCTGTCTCCACCGTGGGAACAGGCTGCAATCAGAGCTTGAGAGCTGTGGTGTCAAAAAGTCCTGTTCTTTCTCCACCTGCACCTCAGCTGCCTTTTTTATTCTGGGAAGGATCTGCCTCACCTGAGAAGTCCTTAAGATGCCACAGACAAGCTCTTCTCTGATTAAGTGCTGAGGGAAGCTCCTGAGAGGGTTGTTTGATGTCACCAGGAGAGGCAATGAATCAGCAGGAGCATCTCATCCCATCGCTCCCACAGCGCGGGGAGGTCAGAGCAGGATGGTGGGCACAGGCTGCCTCGGTGTCCCCAGCTCCAGGTCAGGGGGCTAGAGGCACCAAGGGGTTGTGACAGGGCTGGGAGGTGGGGCAGGGACATCCCTGGAAGGGGAAAGGCACCCTTGGTGGAAGGAGGTGCCTCATTCCCATCATCAGTAGGGTCGGAGTGACCCTACCGAGAGTTTCTGAAGATCCTGGATGACCTTGACAGCCCCATCTCCAAAGTCCTCATTCACAGGCATTGACACGTCCTCATCTGAACACATTCCAGCCCCAGGTATTCCCTTGGCCCAGCCTCATTACCCACTCCCTAGAAGATGAACATCCTTGGGTGTATTCCAGCCGAATCACCTTCCTCCCTCTTTTTCTGCACTAATTAACATCCCAGGTATTTCCTCTATGGGTGGGTATAATTAATTAATACCCCAGGTATTTCCTCTCTAGGTGGGTCCTTCTCCTTTTCCACTGTGTCTCCAGGACACCTTTTCGTCCCTGCCAGCAGGAGAACCCAGCCATGCCCCCAGATTTATGTCCCCACTCTGCAAACACCGTGTCCTCTCTCGGAGCAATGGAGCAGGAAATTCCGGGAGCTCATTGCAGCAAAACCCGGCCGTGTCTTTGCCATGTCATTGCTCTGGGAGGGGAGTCCAGGAGAGCTCCTTGACCTTCCCCATTGCCTGCTGCTCTGCTCCAAGGGAAACTGGGAAAACGCCTCTGCTCTAATCCCAGCCTGGTGGGGGGAGCATCTTCTCTCCATACCTTGATTTGCAAACTGTCCTTGCCTGGAAAAGGAGCTCAAGCATTCCCTCTCTGCAGTGAAGGGCAGCCGGCACCCACCATCGAGGGGCTTCGAGTGAACCCCAAACCACCCTGACCCACTTCACTCCCTGGAGTCAAGGAGATGTTTTCCTCTTTGGAAGAGAAGAGGTGGCACTGGAGGGCCTGATTCTCATTTGCACTTGAGCTGCTCCGAACATAAAAGTGCTCAGGGAGCTGCCTGTGCAGCCTAGAGTGGAAATGAGAATCCAGCCCTTCAGCTGCTGGGGTGCCTTCAGCATCTCCTGTAAAAGGCCCCAAATTGTCACATCCCTTCTCCCCCAGCACCTCAGGAGCCAGGTCCCAGGGCAGGGGGATCCCAGGAGACCCAGGTGAGCCCTGTGAGAAGCACAGGGTGACCCACTGTGCTGTTTAACACCACAACAGCCAAGAAAGGGCCCAAAAGACCCCCCTGGTGACCCGTGTGCCCCCCTGCCAACTCCCCTCCTCCAGGCAGGGATGAGCATCACCCTGTGCCACCTCCCAGTGCCCCACTGCCACACCAGTGACATCCAGTTTGCACCAGTCCTTTGGCACTGCAAGGCTCTGCCCACACTGGGAGGGTGTCATGGGTTTGCTTGTTCTAAAAAACCAAGCAGGGAACTGTTTCCTTTTTGAAGGGGATTTTTGGGTACAGGATTATTCTTTGGTTGTTTTTGTGTTCTTCTGTTGCTCTGCCAATACACAGATATCCTTTAGTAAAGGCCTGTTATTTTCTTTCTCCATAATTCCTCAGTTGGAGCCTCTTAATTTCAGATTTACAGTTGCTGAGAGGGAGGAGTTTGATCATCTTCATAACTCGCCCTCCTTAACAAAACCCTTCAGTCTCATTCAGCTGTGACAGAGGACTTCTTCATGGAATCATGGGGTTGTTGAGGTTGGAAAAGATCTCCAAGATCATTGAGTCCAACATTTAACCCAGCACTAACCCACTCCTTCAAGTGCCACATCGACACATCTTCTAACTCCCTCCAGGGTTGGTGTCCCCACCACTTCTGGAGGCGATTTCTGATGAAATCCAGGGAATTAGACTGACAACAAAGTGCCTTTGACCAACTGAAGAGGAAAAGAAACGTCCCTCACACCCTCTCTGCCTGCAGCACCTCGTTGAACCTCTGGTTTTGGGGGTGTGCATTCACAAAACCACATTTCCACCTAAAAATGAAGATTTATGGAGACCCACGAGTTTTTTGATCCAGGCTCCTCTTCCCACAAAATATCCAAATGCGAAGGGATATGAGGATGTTGTTTGAAGGAGTGCACATTATATTCATTGGGGCCAGGAAGATGTTTGGGGGATCTACAATTAATGGGAATCACATAAAATGCTGAGAATTTGCCCAATCCAAGATGGACCAGATCTGTATAAATTTATATCCATGACAGAAGTAACCTTGCATTGTCCTCATGTTTAAATAGTGCCAGCAGAATGTCCTCTGGATTCACCTCAACAAACCAAGTCCCACAGCCCCATATTTCTATTTACAGGTGGTGAAGGAGGTGTATTCCCACCTCATCTCATCCTTCCCTGGAAGCTGCTCCTTGGACAAGTTCTCTTGGACATCTGAGGAACCCAAGGTGGGTTTGTCCTGGGAGTCCCTCACTCACCACCGGGTCAGAGATGTGTTCTGATCAGAGAATTAGGAATAATGTGAATCTGGGTAAGGGAATCAGGAATAAGGTGTGAATCCAGACTAAACCATGGCCTTAAGTCACTACACTCTGAAGGGTTTTGTGTTTTTTTTTTTGATCAGTCTGTGCATCTGCTGGAAATGATGTTTGAGGAGGACCAGAGCAGTGTGAACTCAGGATTATGCTAATGAGATGAATAATTTCAGGTTAAAAAAGAATTAAAGAGCAGAAAACCTTTGAAAAACGCTGAGCTGCTTCATCCTGGTGCCTCTGAAGTGAAAGGCTTTGTTTCAGAAGTGCCAAAACATTTTGCTGCGCTATTTTCCAAAGCTCCAAAGAAGCTTTTCCCCCCCCCCCTCCTTTTCCTTTCCTTTAAAAGGTGAACCAGAAGTTTAATTAATTGACAAAACCAACCTGAAATGCTCCTGCAAGAGGAAATTGCCACTTTGGGGGAGGCCACGGTGGGTTTTGCTGGTTTTCCCCCCCAGCATTCCCAGCTCCAGGCACAGCTCCTGCTGCTGCAGCCACTGCCTCAGCTGCAAGTCCTTCAGCTGCTCCTTGGCTCAAGATGAATAATATCTTTTTCTCTCTACATGGGGGAAAAAATAAGCAGTGGGAGATTTATTTTCCTAAAAGACACCCAGTCTCTTCTGTCTCTGTCTGAAAGGCCATCGTTACCTTAATGAGAGATTATGGAACCACCCCGACCTTATTTCTCCATTTAATTGTCCCACCTTTGTTCAAAGCTGAGGACAGGGCTGTTATTGGGACAAGTGAGGCTGTCATTGGGAATAAATCTGCCCTGAAGGAGGGGAAAGTGGGGCTGAAGGGCTGGTTTGACCTCTCTGCTGGATTATTTCAAGCCAACCTGAATTAAAACCGAGCCCTTCACAAATGACTTCCCGGCTAATTCCACTCCGGGAGAATAAATTGGAGGCAGGAACAAGCTCCCTGGCTGGGAGAGGTGATTATTGTGACAGGCCACCTGAGATGCCCGGCTGAAGGAGGAGAAGGCCCTTATGACCCCACTGCCTGGCACAAAGTGACTTTGGGAATTCTCTGGGAGATGCCAAAGGCTTTCCTCTCCAGTCCCAGTTGGAGCTTGCTGGGTCCTCCCACCTCTCTCTTGGCCTTCTCAAGGAAGAGCTTATATTATTTCCAGTTTCATGCAATTCATTGCATCACATCTTTAGTTTTTTCCTAGGCTTTGCCCCCTTCCCAGAGCTGAAATACCCCCAAAAAAGCAGCTGAGCTCCCCCAGTTCCCAGCAGGCAAACCCCAGCCTTGTTTTCCCTAATGCAAGGGGAAAAAAAAACATCAAAAAATCCTCAGACCAAATAAAACAATCAAAAAACCCAAACACGTTTCCTCTGAAAGAAATAAAACCACTTTCTGTATCTTTATACATCATAAAGGTGCAGGGAAGGGCACAAACACCATTTTTATTTTTTAGGTTTGCAATTCACATTTAACCTGGAGCCATCTGTCTCACGAGCAGCTTGGCAGGGAGAAGGGGCCCGAGATGTTCATCTGCAGACGTGTCTCCCTCTCCAGCTCCCTGAATTTTCCAGCTGCTTTAAGGCAGGAGGTTCCTGCCTGGTGCCTGATGAGCCCCTGGAGCTCCTGGATGGCAGTGTTTCCACCTCCACAAGTGCCACCAAAATGCCTTTGGGGGCAACCAGCCCGTTGTCACTCAGTGGTGTTGACACCCAGAGTCCCTAAATTTTGGGGTTGGTGGTTGTTTAAGGAGGTTTGAGCCCCTCTGGGAGCTGCCCTGAGGTTGCACCTCCTTCTGTGGGGAGTCTCCAGTGGCTGCTAAAGGCTGGGCTCTCAGTGCCATTCCTTCCCTGCAAAGCTGGACCTGGCAGGACAGGGAGCATTCCTGGGCACGAGGAGGTGGGTCATGTCCAAACAGACACATCAGGAAGAAAACAAAGCACATCCTCACCCTCTCCAGGCAGCCACTGGAGCATCTGCTCCGTTCCTTCCCTCCTGATACACATCTTTGGAAATGAGGATAGAGTTGGTCCCCAGGTCTGCAGGCCCTGAATGCAGAGGTGTGTCCCCCAAGGGGCACTGGGATGGCCAGAGATTTTCCTCCAGGCAGCTCCTCAGGGGGCAAACTGAGCCATCCCATCCCTCCCCTGATGGGACCAGGGGTCCTTCCTCACCTTCACTGGAGCACAAAGCCACCCCTAGGACTTTGTCCTGTTCCAGTACAAGGCTGCCCTCAATGGGTCCAATAATTCCTTGGCCATGGAGAGGGATAACCCCGATTTCCCAAGGGCTCTGGCCACCTCCACAGCAGCTGTGCAGTGGCTTGGACCACAGAGTTATGGAATCATGGAATGCCAGGGTGGTTTGGGTCATAAGGGACCTTAAAGCTCCCATGGGCAGGGACACCTTCCACCAGCCCAGGGTGCTCCAAACCCCATCCAGCCTGGCCTTGGACACTCCCAGGGATGGAGCAGCCAGAGCTTCCATGACACAGCTCTTGGAGGTGCCCAAGGAGAGAAGGTGGCCTGGACACGTCCCCAAAAGCAGGACCAGGAGCTGACACACCCCCATCCCACAAAAACCCTCCTTCCAGCCTCATTTATTCCTGATGTGTTGGGCACATTCCAAGCAGGGGAAGGCACAGCCCTGCTCGTTATTAACTGATAACCACTGGATTAGGCAGGATCTGGGAAGCAGCTGAGCAGGGAAGGGAGGGTGGGGACTGACCCCGGGGGTGGCTCTGCCCCTCCCAGCTCCGTCTGCAGGGCAGAACCTGATATTTTATTTATCCTAAAGGACAGGGAGCTGAAGGGGAGGGTTATTTTCAGTTTAATGGCCATTAATGGAGCAGCACTTTGAGCCACTCACTGCTCCTCACTGCCTGTTCCTTCTGCTGCCGACAGAAACCTGGGCTTGGGATCTCTTCCAAGCAGGGAAAGTCTCAACTGACCCTTCATTAAAGGGCATTTGGGGACAAAGGGCTGCTGAGGGGGGACAGGAGGAGTGGGTGACTGTGGTGGAGCAGGTTGTTACCCCCGGGATCAACACCCAGGGATCAAACCTGGGAGGTGTTCTCATCACCTGAACACCCTTTGATTGTGGTGATGGATAAACTGGCAGAAAACACAGTAGGAAGGGGTTTGTCTGTGATTAGCAGAGAAGAACAGGCTCTGTTCCTAACTCAGGGCTGAGAACGATTCCCTGACATGTGTCCAACCCCAAATCCCAGCACCTGCATCCTGCACCAGGAGTTTCTGACCATGGAGCATCACTTCTTGGTGGGCTGCTCATGTCTTTATTTGAACGTCACATTAACATTGACAAACATTTCCCAGGAACAGCTCGATGCTGCTGATTTCCTTTCTGCTTATAAACACTGTTCACACAACTCTTTCTCTCCACTCCGTGTGTATTTTGCCCACAGGATCTCACATTTCACCTCATCTTTGGTGACAGAGGGGTTGGGGGAGTTTCTTTTTCTCCTCATTGTTTTTGTCCCTAATTTCTCAACTTGTTCCTCTGCAGCAGTCTTGGAAAAACCCTTATGGAGACATATGTATGTGCTACCCAAATCTGGCTCCTACAGAGCTCAAAAATGCTCTTTCTCTCTGTGGCTGCAGCAATAAATGTTATTATTTTTAATGTGTGTGTTGTATTTCCACCATGGAAATACAGAGCGAGGCCAGAGCTGTGGTGAAGGTGGTGGGACACCTGCAAAGGGGGTTTTGGGATGACTTGAGCCACCCCTTGTTGGGATTCAGAGCACTAAGGGAGCAGAAATCCTTGGCATCCTCATTCTCCATCCATGGGGTTCATCCACATTGTGTCAGGCAGGGAGTTTTCATTTTAGTGAAGCAAACCCCTGGGTTTTGGGGGATCATGTTATGGATGTTCACCTAAAAGCCATTCCTTGAACTGGGGGGACTTTGCACCTCTTCCCTGCTGTCCTCTTCCTCCATCCTGGCGTTCTGGGATGGATCCTGCCCATCCCCTCCTGACCTGGCCCATCTAAGCCCCTGCCAGCTCTTCAGTGGCCAAGCCCAAGATGGACAGAACCCAATGAATCCCATCTTTCATTCTCCTTCCCATGGGGAGGCTCCAACCTCCCTCTGTTGTTTAGTGGGTGGTGGAGTCTGAGCTCAAGGGATTGGGGCAGCTCTGCCTGGTGAACCCACTGTGCCCACCTGGAGAGGGGCACAAGACAAGTGCCAGGAGGGAGATCCAACAACCAGGGGGAGATGGAAGTGTCAGGGGTGGGATGCAAGAGCCAGAAGGGAGATGGAAGCACCAGGGTTGAGGTGCAAGTTCCAGGAGCAAGATACAAGTGCCAGGATTGGGATTCAAGTGCCAGGGGTGAGGTGAAAGGACCAGGGGGGACATGCAAGCAACAGAAGGGAGATGTAAGTACCAGGGTTGAGGTGCAAATACCAGGAGGGAGATGTGAGTGTCAGGAGTGAGATGCAAACACCAGGGGAGAGGTGCAAGCACCAGAGGGGGGGATCTGAGCATGAGGAGGGAGATGCAAGAACCTGGAGGAAGATACAAACCCCAGGAATGAGATGGATGTACCAGAGGTGAGATAGAGCATAGATGGCAGGATTCAAGTGCCAGGAGGGAGAGGCAAAGACAGTGGGGAGATGATGCAAGTACCAGGAGGGAGACACAAGCACCAGAGTCGTGATGCACGAAACAGGAGCAAGATGCAGGTGCCAGGAGGGAGAGGCAAACAGGAATGATGGGATGCAAACAGGAAGGGGGAGATGGAAGTGCCCAGGAGGGAGATGCGAGGACCAACAGGGAGATGATGCAAGTGCCAGCAGGGAGGTGGAAGTATCAGGGATGGAATGCAAGTGCCAGGAGGGAGATGCAAACAGGAATGGAGAGATGCAAACAAGAAAGGGGAGATGCAAACAGGAACGGGGAGATGCAAATGGGAATGGGGAGATGCAAACGGGAATGGTGGGATGGAAGGTCCAGGGGTGAGATGGAAGTGCCCAGGAGGGAGATGCAAGTACTGAGAGAGGTGCAAACAGGAATGGTGAGATGTAAGGACCAGCAGGGAGATGATGAAAGTGCCAGCAGGGAGGTGGAAGTACCAGGGATGGAATGGAAGTGCTGGGAGGGAGAGGCAAGGACCTGGGAGGAGATGGAAAAATCGAAGTACCAGGGGTGGAATGCAAGTGCCAGGAGGGAGGTGGAAGCACCAGGAGCTTCCCACGCCCTCCTGGGAGCACAGCTCCGACCCTGCCCTTTGGAAGGTCGTGCAGAAAAGCTGTGCTGGGGCAAAGCCCCATCTCCAGAGGGTGGGGGGTGTTTTACCCATCCCAACAACCCCCTCCCTCGGCTCGGGAGGGCTCTGGGGCTGCAGCTGCGTCACGTGGCCGAGGCAGAGGCAGGTCTGGGCTCCGGGCGATTCCGAGCAGAGGCAGAGAGATAAAAGCATCTCCTGCTTTCCTTCACAATTCGCTGAAATCCGTGCACGTTGAACGCTTTGATATGGGAGCAGCAATATTAAACACATCCTGGATGGGCTGGAATATGTCCAGGGGAAAAAAAAAAGAGGGAAAAAAATGAAGGAGAGCTGAAAATCCGTGTGAAGAGAAAGCAAAGAGCAGCTGAGATTAATATAATTAATGTATTAAAAACAGAGAAATCAGCTTTGTCCTTCAGCGGCTCGGACTGAGGGATGGGGAGAGGGATGCTCGGGGGGGCGAGTGCTGCTGATTTACTGGAGCAAAGCGATCTCTGCATCACCGGAACGGCTCCCAGGGAGTCCAGCACACGTGCCGGGATGCAGATCACTCTTTGGAGCCCTTCCCAAAGGTGACCCATCCCCTCCCGGAGGGCAGGAGCTGCGGGAAGCGCTGCCAGCTCAATTCCTCTGCATCCCTGGCTTTGGGTTGGGAATGAAAAGCAGGGAAGGGAAGGGCAGCGGGTAAAGTGTCACACGCAGAGCCCGACCTGACGATGCTAAAGAGATTAGGGGAGCCTCAGGAATTCGGTTATGGCTGCAATTGGCCAAATAAATCTTTGCAAACCAGTTCTTCGATGATTTTCGCCCTGTTTCATTTGGTTTATGAGTCGCTCACGTTGGCACCGGGGTTCTTTACAGACCATCAGGTAAAAAACCCCTGCTTTAAGTGCAGGTTTTGTTCCCGGTAATGAGACATTAAAAGTTCGGTTTCTAACCCAAACAAGATATTCAGGCTTTCTCTTTTTTGCACAGGAGACCCTTTCCTAGTTCTTTAACAAAGGCATGAACTGATACATTTTTATTGATTTTCTTGTTCCTGAAAAACAGATTTTCGATAAAAACCTCGTTACTCGTAAGCCATAAAAAAATGAGAGAGTGGCCAAAATGCTGCAGGTGAAAATGTTATGAAATATCAAGAAAAACAACTTTCCATCATGTCCCTGATACTTTTCAAAATGTTTCTGTCTTGCTAAAAAGCAGGAAAAGGCAGTTTGGGATCAAATCCATCTTATCTCTTTTTTATTCGGTGTTTTGTTGGGATTTTGGTGCAGAGCTCTGTGTGATCCCTCCTGCCCTACCCTTGGAGGGATGAACCATTTGTTTCCAGCTGGAATGGGCTCTATCCCGTGTTGTTCTGTCCCCAGGATATCATGGAAACCCATCCCACCAGCAGGATGGCAGGAGCACGCCAAGGCTGGCAGGAGCCACGTGGCATCTACAGCCCCAAACCCTGGAAAAAAAGCATTTCTTGCACGTTTTTTGCCATTATTTTGAATAAAAACGTGGTTCTTTCCCTTCTTTTGGTCGGGATGGAGATTGAACATTCCCCAAAACTCTGCTTTTTCCTCCTGTGATTACGTTGGGGGTCTGCAACCCTCGCTGTGCTGGGTGGGAAAAGCCACCCTTTGGCTTTTTCCTCTTTGAAGATTTCAATTTCAATCAAATCATCTAATTTTTAGGAGGGCACCGAGCAGGGGGGAAGGTGGTTGGGGATGTTCATCCTTTCCAAGGCACCAGTACAGGCCTTGCCTGCCCAGGGCACAGACCCTGCAGGTCTCATTCAGGAGTGTTCTTATTTCTCTGCCTGGGAAGGGAACTGTGCTAATCCAGCCTTTTTTTTCCCCCCCCATGTCCAAGCACAATATCGGAGGCTTGCATTGGGAATAGCTGAATTTTCTGGCTGCTGGGCTGGGCTGCTCCTCACTTGGGTGGGCTCTGAGAGGGAAAAGGGAAAACACCCAACGCCTGTGTGGTCCTGCCATGGCCAGGACTTGCTTCTTCATCCAGGAAATTCAACCAGGTTTTATTTTTCTCAACTAAAAATGCATTTTCCATATTCCAGGAATCCT